GTGGAGCTGACAGGCTGCTCACATGAAGAGAGTGAAGTGAGGAGTTTCCTGCAGTGTCTGCCTTATATCTCACAGCTCAGGTAAATGAATGACATTTTTCTAATTTATGTCAGAGTTGTCAAATTTATTTCACAATATGGGCCACATAAGCCCACTTTGATCTTAAGTGGACCATGCCAGTTAAATTCACATTTCTGTCAGTGTTAATAAGTTACCATATTTTTTGGACCATAAGGCGCACTGTCGATGAACGGATCTGTTTTCATACATAAGGCGCAACGGATTATAAGGTGTCACGGCTCGTGGGATGAACCGTGTGGAATTATTAAAGGACCCAAAACACAGGAAAAGGACGGATGATATGAGTGAATGTTTATTTTCAAAGTGGCAAAAAGACAGCAACAGACAGTGGGGGTATGAGAAGCAACTGAGGAAACCTAAACTGGGAAAACTAAAGAGCAAACCTAAAATGATAACCAAATGGGGTGAAGGACAGAGAGACACAGACAGATGCAGGGAAACCACTCAGGATGATGGAGGGGATTAATGCAGACAAACCGGCAACAGGCAGGAGAACACACAGGGCTTAAATACACAAAGCAGTAATCAAGGGATGGGAGACAGGAGGGTACAAAAACGTATTTTATTTATTGTGTCTTTTATTGTATCTCAAATTATAGCGTCATAATGATTACAGGACATCAGATTGCTTGTTCTTATCACTTAATAATGCAGAGTTCATCATATAGAAATAAAAAACCTGAAGTTGTGCGCTATTTGAACACCTTGCCTGCCTGCAGCACTGAAGGACTCCGTGAGAGACGTCTGTCTCGCCCTAGCAGCACCTGTCCCTGTCCACTCCTCCTCTTCAGTTCGCCCCAACATACGCTCGTCATATTCTGTGATAGGATTTACTCTGAGGTGTTTGACAACTTTGTGGTGTTACCACAACACCTCATTTTCTTGCCACATGTATCGCAAACCACGTCTCGGCTGTTTGTGGATGTAAAATACGTCTGCACATGACTCCAATTACGCTCAGCCATTGTTGTGAGTGCGCACGCCAAGGGGCTGCGACACATTTATACAGCCGTATTTTGCACATGACTATGAAAGGCGGAAGAGGAAGTAGTTCCTTCCAATGTAGACAATGCGAATGAAATAGGTTCTTTCCACTGTGTTCCTGTTAATGTTAAACTACAAATTTACCCTAAATTACTAAAATATCAGTATTTTAATGTGAGAATCGATTCTAGAACATAAATGACTGGTATCGGAGGAATCAACATTTCAGTATCGATCCGCACATCACTACAAAACACTGAGTCGTCAGACTCAGGACCATGACATAAGGCGCATTAAGTGAAACAAAACAGTCAGATAAGTCAAACTTTATTCAACTTGTTGTTCTTGCTTCCTCCACTTCCGTACCATTGATTCATTAATGCTGAATTGTCTCGCAGCTGCTCTATTCCCATGTTGTTGCAATATATTAATGACTAACCTCGTATTGTGGATGGATTATCTCAGTTGTTTTCCTGACTGAAGTTTGGTCCGTTTAAAACATCCTGCCATGCGATTGCATTTGTCCCAAACCATCGGGAACCCTTCCCTTTGAGTGGAAAAAAGTTAGCATTCATCCACCAGCTTCACTGTGTTTATGTTATGCTAACATAACTGTGTCGCTAGCGATCACGTAGCACATCATTATATACCAGCTAGTCCAAATTCAGTAACCCTACAAAAGTCACTGCTGTTTAGTTTTGTGTCTTCATTTGTGTTGGAAGTGATAGCAGCGTTGTACGTTTTAACGTTTTCAGAAATCTTTCATTCAGAACATGCTATATCATGTTTAGGTGAAAGCTAGCGAGCTAACTTTCTGCTAACTTCCTGCTAACTTCTAACACAGTTAAATTTAATAAATTCTGTTTTCATAGATGCCTGGATGTTAAACTTAATTGTTACACCTGGTAAAGCAGCAATGCTGATCATTTTATTAAAGATGAAAGAATTTAGACAGTTTTTAACTTTTAGTGATGCTGCAGTGTTCGTTGGACTTTGGGACCTGAAAGGACGGAGTTTTGGACCCAGATTACTCCGGGAGGCGCCTGACTACATTAGCCGTAATGCTCTGACAATCCATCAAGCAGTGCGGCTTCGTAGCTTAGCAAAGTCATACTAAAACATTTCTTGACAGATTTTTGAGCGTCGCGTACCACACAAAATCTATTTGAGGTCAGTAAGCACAACCAGAATTCATACATAAGGTGCACTGTCGAATTTTGAGAAAATTAAAGGATTTTAAGTGCGCCTTATAGTGCGGAAAATACAGTACGTGTTAAACTGTGTTTCTATATGATAAATAATAAGTTGCTGTGACAAAGAAAGAAATCTGTTACTAGGACTCTGGACATATTGCAAGAAATAAATGTGCAAAATTTCAGAAAAAGTTCTAGTAGCACATTGAAAATCTGGGAGTTGGCCAGTGCCCCCACTGGGCCCCTGCTGGCCGCGCTCTGCCAACAGCCATCAATAATGGCATATGAAATTAATCTTGCATGTACATTAATTTGTAATAGTATCACTTTTTCTGTTCAAAAACTATATTTCTTTTTAGTTAAAAACTATGTCACATTTTTTTACTCATGATTTCAGTGTCATACCTCAGTTGTCAGAGCCTTCAGAAGAAACCAGGTTCTTGGGGAATCTGTTCTGTGCAGCAGCAGAGAGAGAACAGCAGACAGGAGAGAAGATACTGGAGCTGTTATCATCAGTGTGCAGATACAAAACATTCCCTCTGACAGAGATATGGTGTGATTTCCTTTTTGATCTGTACTCCCATGTGAAGGACTATGAGATTAAAACAGGCTTGAGTGTCCTTCCATCATTACAGTCAGTTTCCCAGTCAGCTCCTGCAGTCTGGTCCATAAACCTCTCAGAGAGAAAGACCTCCATCCTCCTGGAAGTGCTGAAACTCCAACCAGAGAAGAAACAAGTGGAGCTGACAGGCTGCTCACATGAAAAGAGTGAAGTACTGAGTTTCCTTCAGTGTCTGCCTTATATCTCACAGCTCAGGTAAATGAATTGTACTTTACATGATATACTCTACATATAGAGTGTTGTGATGTAAACTAGGTAAATTAATCAAAGCTTAGTATATTATAAAATTCTGATTTTGTTTTAACATTTAGATTACGCTTTTACAGCAATTTACCACAGAAAAGAAAAGATGCTCTTCTGTGTTGTACATTGCAATAGAATTGGGCACCTGCATGTCAGCACTGGATGAACCAAAAGCTCCAAACAAGAGTCAGTAGAAGAATGAGATTTTTTCATGATTCCAACACACATACTTAACTCTGCTGCTCACCACACAAATGCATTTTCCTTACAAGTGTGGCACCATTTAAGAGCAAACACACAGACTTTCCAACAGCTGGTAATGGCCTGTTTGAAGCTGAAGCTCCTGCCCATGGGTAAAAAAACCTAACACAGTGCTTCAGAAACACTGTGATGAGGCTTGCTTCAGCTGAACAGAATCATGTGATCAACGATTTCTGAACTTCATTTGGCACATCACTGTTTCAGTACCTGATTCAATGGTTTATAAGGAATTGAATGGCGGGATTTGTGCTGTGTTTTGGTAATTTTGTGTGAGAGATGGCAAACCGGTGTGTGACACAATTAGAGACATGAAGCCAGGAAAAGAGGATGCTCTGCCTATTCCTAAATAAAAACCAGTACATCAGCAATTCTGCTCCCAGGTCTAAAAAGTACATAAGAAATACAAGATATTATTATATTTATAATTATAGAAGTTATAAATGTACCTGTCCACTGGTTAATTACATAATCACATGGAGGCAGCAAACATACTCCTAACTTATTTTAAGATTGTGTTGTACATTGTTATATAGAGTTTTTGTTATTTCTATTAATAAAAACACATCAAGAAGTCATAAACAAAATGAGAACACTTCGTGGTACATGTTTAAACAAGGAAGCCTTATTCACCATATCAGCCCGATACCAGACAGAACTGTCATAAAACAGAAGCTGTCAATTCAGCTCTGTAGAGTGGGAAATCATAATGAAGCAGTTCATTAAAGGTTGTAGATTCAAGCTGTTTTTCATATTTTTGGCCACCAGATGTCACCATAGATGACTGTGTTGAAACGCTTCGAGTAATGAACTTTTTTTTCAACACAAGCTCCAATGCTTCAGAAACCTTCATTTGGCCAGCAACAGCAGAATTTATTACTAAGAAGTATTGTGAGAACAAATAAATAGCTGACCAAACACAAATGTCCTTACCTTTTTTGCTAAGTTTATATACAAGAGGGCAATTGGGGGAAGTGAGCAGCTGGATAACATGACACAGGTAATCACAGTCAAGCACAGTGAGACTAAACACAAGACACTGGAGACAAGTAACTATCCAAAATAAAAATGACCAGTGAGAACCAGAACTAAATGTAAAGACAGACACAAGATCTTAGCACAGAAGAGTTGACATAACAGGATGGGGGAATGAAAAGCAAACTGAGACACAAACTGGAACAAAGAAATCAAAACTAAGAAAAAGGAAATGCATAAAATGTTTAAAAAAAATTGAAATAAGAATTAAACTATTCAGTAGCAGACTAACAGATATTTAACAGCAACATAACTTAAAATTTCATAAACCAAAACACTGGGTCAGCAACCAAGGACCATGAAATGGGCAGTCAGCACACCTTGATCCAGCTAAACATATCTAGTTCATAGAAGGTAGCAAAAGGTAAGTGGCTAAAGCTAACACTAGCCAGAGCTTGGAGCAGAGGTGGCAAAAGTTTAGAAATTATGTATTTAAATAGAAGTACAGATACTTGTTTTAAAAAAAAAAATACTTTATTAAAAGTTGAAGTAGTGATTCAACTTTGCCTATTGTCAGAAATAAGTGGGGAAGAGGTTAAAGTGGTATTCAGCATGGGGGGAGTGGGACCTGAAAAATCCGTTGTAGTGGCTCAGGATGGGGAAAAGAATCACATCTCAGAATAATTTTTATTGAGAGCTCCAGTAGATATTCTTGGTGTAGAAGTGATGTGATTAGCTGATCTGGGCTGCTGCTTTTCTGAGATTCACAGGTCTTTGAACTAAATTCAACAAGATGTAAGCAGATGTTTTATAAGGTGACTGTTTTCATTTTTAGTATGGCTAGCTAGATGCTGAAGTACTGCAAACAACAGTTATGGACACCTGCAGTTGTTTGGGTGTTGTGCCAAGAAAACAAAAATGCCAGCACTATTTAACCCTGATTATGGCAAACAGTTTTGCCTCTTAATGTCTTTTTTGGAGGGGGAATGTTTTAGTTTTACATGATGTCAGGTACAGTTGGGAAAATGTGAATCAGCCAAAAATTTTTTATTGTCAGGTCAATCAACAAAATTCCACTAAATGCATCTCTCATTCTCACTCACAGCCGGTAATGTAACAACAGGTCCAAGTTGTCATGTTTATCTTCAACAGTTTGTGCATCTTTGCACATCCAAATGTCTGGGATGAACCAGGACATCCCTGCATGAAATAATGTTGAAATGTAACAGTTTTATATAAATGATAATGGACATTTCTGTAATGCAACTGACTTCTGACAAAATGTTCAATTTTCCTTCCAGTTTCTCTCCTTCATTTTTACTCTCAAGTCAAACGGATTTGACATGGGAAGAAGCAGAGAGAGAACAGCAACCAGAAGAGAAGATACTGGAGCTGTTAATATCAGTGTGCAGACATGGAACGTTCCCTTTTAATGAGAGATGCTCCTGTGCAGACTGTGATTTCCTGTTGGATCTGTTCTCCCATGTGAAGGATTGTGAAGCTAAAACAGGCCTGAGTGTCCTTCCATCATTACAGTCAGTATTTTCAGCTCCTGCAGTCTGGTTCATAAACCTCTCAGAGAGAAAGACCTCCATCCTCCTGGAAGTGCTGAAACTCCAACCAGAGAAGAAACAAGTGGAGCTGACAGGCTGCTCACATGAAAAGAGTGAAGTAAGGAGTTTCCTTCAGTGTCTGCCTTATATCTCACAGCTCAGGTAAATATGTTTTCCTTTAAAAACATATCTGCATGTGTAACACAGTATACTTCACTACTACAGAATGTAGAGTAAGTTAGGATCTTTGGGGTTATGTTCTCTAGGTACCAACTAAGGAGCAACTGACACACAGCTAAAAGAAAAGTTAAAACAATTATTGAAACAACCCCATAAACTAGAGATGGCACGATACCACTTTTTTATGTCCGATACCGATACGATATCATAAATTTGGATATCTGCCGATAC